AATAGTCAATCAAATTGTTTATTATGCAATGTGATTCACTTAATAATTCAGTACGGAAAATACAATATTTGGAAAAAAATGTAATAGTTTTAAAATAATATATTGAAAATGTTAATCATCAATGTGCATCAGTTTGGATTATAACATGAAGAAAATTAATATCATATAAAAAATAAAGATGATTTTATACGTAAATGCGTACAAAATATTTAAGATATATTCAGAATTGCATATTTTCTGAATATTATGATCATTACTATTGAAGTCAAATGGCAAGATAAACAGTTGTTAATAATTCAATTTATTTTATGTTTTAGAATCGTTTTTTTATACTTAAAACTGTAAACTTCACACATATAAATTAAAATATTTTTGATAAAATTAATCATGAATATATAGTAACAATTAACAGGACTAGAAATAAATTGTCATTAAGAATTTAAAAATTAAGCTGAATTTTTAAATTTTATATAAATGTAGATAACAATATTATATATAATAAGAAAGTGTTAATAACTTTTTAACTTTGGACTTAATAGTATATAGAATCTAAAGCTATTATGATGCAAATCTACCAAACATTTTATTCAATGAAAATACGTAACATGCTATGCACATTCACGTTACAACAGTTAAATTTAAATACATAAATAACATAAGCGTTGAAAATACGAAAATAACGCTTTTTCTGTTCAGTACAAATATAATACAATCTGTTTGTGGATCTGGTTGTGGATGATAGAATCGAGATACATGCATGCAGGTGTACGCATAAACTTAAATGCTCAAGGTCTTTTGCCATGAAGTTTCTTCTCTGTTCGCGGTTTTCTCATCGTCCAAACATGTCCTGATGTAAGTATTGACCTCGTGGTTACCGGGAAACCATCAAGATACCGTGGACGTTGCTAGAGCTATCTATGGTGTGGCTGACCGAGAGTTTTTTTAGGAATAAAAAGAATTGACGACAAACCCCCGGATTGGGAAAGTTGAGTCGCCTCGTCATCAAAATGAAAAAAACGTAAAGACCATAATTATTCTCTAGTGTAGTATCAATTTCTCTTTGTAATATAAATCAAAAAGATATATATTTCATTATTGAAACCTGTTACTAAGCTACGTGGGCTGTTCGAATATGAAAGGCAAATTATTGGATGATCCATTTAGATCCTATAAATTTTGAATGTGAAAAAAATTACGTGTTTACAAAGCAGATTTCTGAACCTACTAGTATAACGGTTTTAATTTGCTTTGACTTGTGAATGATTATCCAAAATGTTAGTTAATTAATATCGATTTTATGGCAAAAGATACATAGATTTCAAACGATACAAAATGCAAATTAAAAAAGGCTAAGAGAAATTTAATATCATGTTTAATCATAGTAATAATATGCTGAAAAAAATATATTAAATTTTAATCAATCATTTGTTTGAATAGTAATAATATGCTGAAAAAAATATATTAAATTTTAATCAATCATTTGTTTGAATAGTACTAATTAAATATTTACTAAATATAAAGATATATTTACCTGATACAAGAAACATAACTCATCAACTATTATTTCTTTTATTAAGTAAATATTTATTTACTGTAAAAATTTAGTTGGTACTAAAAATTCAAATAAATGTTTATTAAAATTTACATTTCTTCTCAATATAATAATAATGTATTCAAAACAATTATAAATAAAAAAATTTCTCTTCTCTATACTTATTCTTTCGAAATCAACCAAATTATTATATATCGTTGGAATTTTGAAGCATACCAAAATAACGGAACGTTATTTTAGTATCGTCTACAAAGAGAATGCTTTAAATTGTCGCTTATTCTGAGTCAGTTTATGATAAATTTTATGTCGCATAGACATTCGTGGATTAATTTTCAACATGTAAGATAATATTAGCTGGTCGGCACTGAAAGCGTGCGCGAATAACTTTGCGCAACTATCCTGCGGCCGGCATTCGCGCAACCACCGCCGTTAATAAGGTGTTAGTCTGGCTGGCACATGATCGAGAAATACGGGGCATAGGATAGGACGTTGCAACAAAAGCAACGGTGACGGGTACAGACGAGCCGTATCCGGGACGTCGACCAATAAAATTAATCGCTTTTGCTACATCGCCTGAATAAATTATGCTTGCTGTTGTGCTTAGGAGTTGACCGATCATCTTTTGCGACCGAGAAGTGTGCTTGTAACATAATTAGAATAGATCGTTTATAAAAATAGACATTTATTCGCATGCGCGAATCGCAATAGACGTAGATTTAATAACATTTTTTTCAATGTGAATTTTCTCAATTTGAAAAATATTTTGTAAACTTAATGTAAGAATATTAACATCGCAAACATGCAATATCAGCTACAATATTATCTTCTTTATTCTTTCTCTTACGATATTTAAATAAAAACTCATTTTTATTTAATTTCATTATTTTTAAAGTGTATAAATATTTTCATTATGTGAAATTTTTATAGAGAAAATTTTTATGGAGATATATATATATATTATATATATTAAAAATCTAATATCATCATTTAATTATCATACAGTATAAAAGGATTATTTTACATTTAAAAACGTATTTTTTAAATTTAAGAACGACTTTACTTCTCAAATTTGCATTGTTTTAATTGAAACGCTGCATAAAGAGTATTACCACGGTATGTCGTGAGTTGCGTCCCGTATGTGGCTTTCTTCAATTTCGAAATATATGATGCATGAAAGTCGCTGGCCCGTAAAACTGTCGACATGTCAATTGGTAGTTTCTTCCGTGTTGTGTCCCCATAGCCGCGCAACAATGTTGCCCCCAGATGCGGTATGCATTATTCAATGTACCCGGAAGGCCACTACGGGTCCGCCGAAGTTGACTCTCCTCCACTACGCGACTTGTATTTTCTTTATTCCGCTACTGCTTCCTACATACTACTTGGTAAAGCTCGCAGAAATGCGCTAATTGCGTTTAAACCGAGAAATACAAGAAGAATGCAAGAGACATAACTTCTCACATCTTATAAACAGATGTGCCAACACTGAATACTGATGCTCTATGTAGAAATACAAATTATATAAACATTGAGAAAGAAGTTAAACATTTCTAACCCAAAC